TGCTGTCATACGCTTAGATAGGGCCGCCGTCACATAGCCCCTCGCACGCCGCTCCCTAAATGTACGTCCGTTTCCACCTGCCGGCACGCACGTCGAAGTATGAAAGCAGCCAATACAGCCAAGCCTCCAAACACTCGTCACATGTACGACGCAACAAAAGAGTACCCTGAGCGAAGCCTACGTGATGGGTCTTGGGGATATGGGCGTTTACAGTTTTATACGTTCACGGCAACTTGAAGTCCGACTTGTTGTTGGTGTGGTATGTGTGCAACACTGTTGGGACAGAGATAACGCCGGGACATACAAAGCCATTTGTATAATTTTCAGGCCCCATATTCTCAATGATGTATGCACAAATTCGTTTTGTTCGACCTAGCGAAGATTGTGGCGTTGAGAAATGCCGATTCACAGGTCGACTACATGCTCATTGCACTCAACGAGGGTAAGTGACATGGCTGACATAAGCATTAATGCTCATAACCAGTACATTGCCGTGACATACTCTCACCTTCCTGTTTCTGTAATTTTTCCTGTTTCTTTCCTCCTATTTGAAGTCTGTCAACTTTGAAGGTGGTCAGACTTTAAAATGGTTCTTTGTTGTATGTCTAACAGTAAGTAGAACAATAAAGATGAAAAAAAGAACCCATTTATCTCAACGATTCAGCTCTCTTTCTTTTTTTTATGTCAAAATGGTTCTTTGTTGAATGGCTTTCCTAAAAACTATTCTATGATGTCGAAAATGGTTGATTTTTTTTCAGCTGTTACTTTTGTGCAGACGACGAGCTGATCATCTCAAATCATGCAATGGTATTTCATGCCGTCCTTGCTCCACCCAGTCACACAGAGTTCTTTCATATCGGTACTTTTAGGATTTTAGTTATCTCTACCTGAACTTTTGATCGTTGAGATTGCGGGGTAAAGTTGTTCATAGTAGCGCTGCGCGTTGTGAGTCTCGGCTCCCTTATGCGTCACGTCGTGTGCCGCGTAAGGAAGTCGAGGCTAAAGTTGCGTAGGCAAATTCCTGATTCACTACAGTCTGTGCAGTCAACCGATACACCTAAATACATGTACCTTTTTCTTACAGATTCGAAGTGTCGCTTCAAAGAAAGGTCAACCATTGGCTCACCCTCCAAGACTGCTCCTATTGAATGCCCACTGGATAGGAAAAAATCTCATTATCACTGCCTTTACTGTCAAAAAGTTGGTGATCGATGTTTTTCTCCTAGTTCTCATGCTCACCGAAAGGTACGTAATTTCCAGCACTTCCTTCAAGTCGACGATCATCCAGCTGGAATCTGCAGACGGCTGCAGATATACGAAGCTGCCAAGGGAGTAAGTAGACAAGCAATTCATTTTTCATTCTGGAAGGGATTCTGTAAGCTGGTTTACATATAACTTGTCAAAAAGGTGCTTTTAACCTAAGAAGGCAAAGAAATGAGAGGGGTAATGTGACTATTATGCCCCTGGAACTGTGTCAGCTCTGCCTCTTGTTGCCAGTTCCTCCTCCCTGCAATATACGAAAGGATTAAATCGCCTTCGAGGATATGATTGTGAAATGATAAATTGCAGTAAGATTTCTTTCTCAGCATTGTCTAGAAAACATTGAAGTCGCAATGAGTCGGGAAGAAAGGTTTCCTGATGATTCCGAAAAGTACACCTTTTCACATTTTTTCTTAATTTCGTGGCGACGTTATAAAAGCAAATCCATTTCAGCCGGTATTACAGGGGGTGGGACTGGCTCTAAGAGGCGTAGTTGCCATCATTTCAGACCTTGATCACATTGCTTCTGAGGCCCTACCTAATGCTATTAAAAATACCATAAAACGTAGAAACAAACTACTAATGCTCAACAACTAGCCTCAGTATTTTGTTTCCACGCTTTTTAATAACAGATTTCCTATCGGTAACCACTTCGTCTGCTGCAAACGGAAAGAAAACTTTTAGTAATAGTAAATGTAATAGTAAGTAGACCCGAATACGTCTTGAGCAGGTCCTCTTGAGAAGATGTGTCGCTTCAACCAGACAAATACGGAAAGTATTTTATATTAGCTGTCGAAAAATTATCTAGAAACCTCTTTTACAAGTCCACACCTTGTTTTTTCATTGGTTCCTATGGTAGAATGCGATTTCTAATAATATTTTCGAGTTGATCATGAACTTCCAAGATGTTCTAGCGAAAATCTACAGGAATCAAAGCATCTACAGTTGTTTGAGTAAGAAGTAAAATATTCCAACTCATTAAAGTTGGCTTTGATTTTCACCTATTGTTGATCCTTTCCTAGTAGGTTTTTTAGGTTTGTCAACGACCATTTTGTAAGCTGAAGAAGAAAACATTGCATTTCCATTGTATTGTGTGTGATCAAGGGTTTTCCGATAAAAGCAAACTGCAAGTCCATTCACTGAAGCACAGAATCTACTCGGCTAACCGTTGGTATGTTTCATTTCTTTGTTTTTTTCATGTTTCTGAGTGATGGAGATCGAAGAATGCCTCTAAAATTGCAATTCCACGAAAAACAAGAAAAATGGAATCTTATTTGAGCGCTATCAATTTTAACTTTCGCGTTATTTCCTTTGTCTTTGTAGTATCTTCTCTTCCAGTTGGAGTTATATTGATGCCACTTAGATATCTTCTAAATTCGTTGGCAAGGCTCATTTCCGACTCCCTGTATTATGATTTACAATAAAAACTCGCATTTACTTTTTCGAGTTTGCTCTCTTCAGGACAAATTTATTGGCTCAGATGGTCCTCGTACTTTCGACATTTAATTTATCCCTTTTCTAAAGTTTTCATAAGAATGCCTATTTATGGACAAATTTATGTTTACAGTATTTCCAGGTCATCTGGTACGTCTAATCCCGGCTTTCCATGCTCCACAAAGATCATTAAGAGATTGAAAAGTGTCGAAAATCATTTTCAGGTCAGTTTGTAGTTTTTTGCATAGACAAATGTATTTTCTATAATGTATATATAATAAGAAAAACAAGCATGCTCTTAATGGGTTCCGTTAAACCATTTTCCATGGATTTTTACAAACAAGGAGATCCAGGTTGATCAATCCTGATTTGGGATGCGTTCCACGTTTGACTCTGATATCGATTGAACGTCCGTTATAATTATCCTCCCCTATCATTCCTGTGCAAGCTAATCAACCCTGGTCAGTCAAAAGGCATTGTTACCCTTGGTAGGTACGGTGAATATCGGATTGTTTCTCGCCCAGGCCATGTAAGCACTCCATATCTACGGATTCGGGTGATTAGTACCAGACTCGTCCGGGAGGACAAAAACTCTAACTTGCACATCGACGGAGAAATCATAGTATGGGCCACATACGCGTTCGGAAACCCCATTTGATTAGGGTAACGGGCTAATGAACAGAATAGTTCTAGTATGGTGGAGATCATGGAATTCAGAATACAACACTCGAGGTGTCTGAAGCGAGTGGAGTTCAGATAACTCAAAGTACGCCCCCTCTAGATACAATTTTCCTCGCCATCACACTGACCAGAATAAGTTGGTCATATCAAGTATTGTGTGGGACCAGATTCCTACTGATGTGACTGAAAAATTTCGAGCAGTAGTTGAATTCGTGGCGCACTCGGAGATGATCCATAAGTACTGGGTGTTGTGCAGTCCGTATCACCTTAATTTTTTTTTTTGATTTGTTTCTTTTTTTTTTGATAAAGCTTGCTCTCGTGGGCTATGGCAAACCTAGTTACAGAAATCTTCCAACGAGAAATCGACGATCAATATCGCTGAACCATCCAGTAGAGCTCCAACAAATACTTCCAGAGAGCCATACAACAACATCGACAATGGCCTTCCTTTGGATCTGAGCACTTCGAAGTCGTCCTTCACCGCCAGTGTTTCGTCTGCTGTTCCGGCTTCTCCTTTTACGGAATCACTGCCTTTCACCCTCAGGCGGATTACCTTTTCGTTGTAGTTACGCTAGGCTCGAGTCCTCAGCTATAATCCTTATAAACAGAGTTTTTCCTATTTTCTAGCCTTTCAAACATTATGCGTTAAAAACCTTGCCAGATTATTGAAAAGCAAGAACTATCACACTAAATTGAAATTTGCTGTATGGAAACAGCCATTTCATTATCTGTCTGCCTTCCTATACTCACGTGAAATCCCTCCTTCGTCACCCAATCATCAAGCTCCATTCTGAATTATGGTGGCGTTTGGTAGCGATTCGAATGCGTGCATGGCCTACACAATAAACTACTGGATAGTGGATTAGTGCCTGATTAGGGGTGCATAGGCGAGTGATTAACCTTTTTCCCTCTCTTCCACTCTTTCTATACCACCCACCTCTATCGGCGTAGGCCAAGGTTAAAAAAAAGAACTGTTGATGAAACTATTTCGGAAAATAACAGCAGCTTGTTGGGTAATCCAGTAAACTGTTCAGACGAGGACTTGTTGTTAGTAATATGTCTTCCCTGGCTGCCTTTTTGCTATGNGAAATGGATACCTTTTGCTTCCAGTATTTTACACTTAACATGAAGCACGGACTCAATTCCTTCGGCATCAGACTTCACTCGTGTGGTGGCCCGATAGAATCCCACATGAAAATATAGGCCGACTAAGCACATCACCCCTTCAGGATTGATCAAAGATCTTTTGAATGGATAGGATAGGATTAAGGCTAAAGGAAGATAAAGCTGAAAGGATAAAAGCTCTGATTCATACATCAATTGGCCATGGCAGTTGAACGTATTGGCCACATACGTATTCAAACGCCACAGCGATTTCAAATGGAAGTCGAATGCCCAGGGTGTACCGTAAGCCAAGACTGATCGGCGCCAAAAAGATCATTTCTAACTCCCCTCCTCCGAATTTCGGGATTACCCCTGACGCGAAGTTGTCTGGCAACAGACCATTCTGCGTCCGATCACTCATAAACGTAAAACCTACACCTTTACGATGACTACGGTGATTGTAAAGGTCGAACCTTGACAGACAACAGGGTGATCAAAACAAAATAGCCCTCATTTGCTCTTTAACGATGTGTATATCGCAATGAGCAGTTGCTAACGTTGAACAGCTGACATGAACGAACGCAGACAGCGAATTGTTGTTGATGATAGCAATACAACAAAACAACGACGTATGTATGTAGTCGAACAGAGAAGGCATGGCACCCAATCACGACTGTCAACCTCACCCGCTACGGTATTGGGAGTTTTTTTTTTCAAGTTCAGAATTGGGGGATCAAGTTCTTGGCGTTGTCAGTCCCCATCTGGGATGTGCCCGTTATCAACTTTTGTTCAATTGTGTACGTAATAGTTCTATACAATGACCAGCCGCAATAGCCGATGTAGAAGGCAGTGCTCTTATCCACCCATACAGGTCTTGTACCTACTATTACCCTATCCCAAGACATGTCATGGGTCATTTATACAGGGATTTAAAACCATTTGGAATGAGCAGAATCTACCAAGTGGTCTCCCTAATCGGTAAATTCAGGCCGGGCCAATACCTGTCCATGTCATCTGAGTCTTGTGATGTAGATATAGATGATTTAGAGCTGGCCGCCACGCCACCACGTGCATGGCCAATGTTATCAGACCTCGAGACCATCGAATTTCTCCAAACAGGCATCCGAATGCCACTATGCCAGTAAATCTGAATGGGAGACGAACTCAAGGATGCATACGCATTGATTATCGCCTCAAAAACATCCTTTGACTTTGAGTTCCCGGAGAGACTCGTATGGTTCGGTTAGGTATCAATCTGCACCCCGGTGCTTTAACTCCTGCCTTCTTTCTCTGAACTTATTGAGGTTCTGGAAATAGAGTTTCTCACACGAGGGGTGGAAGATAGCCGCTTGCAGCAGAGATTTGGAGGAAATGGGGAAAAGCCATTCATTAGAATTGAGAAATGGAAACCATTTCCGATTTTCCGAGACCATATGAGGCTTTACCATTTCTCTAGATTAAAAAACAATATTACTATTCAAAAATTCAGATCTGAACATCAGAAAAATGCCCCTTCTTACCTGATGACTACGTCATTCCGGCCTCAACTTTGCAGAAGATTTTGGGGGCTTGGATTAGCTTTACCTATACCTTATCCAAAAATATCACCTTATTTCCGGAACTGTTTAGCTATCACAGACGAGGCTAACTCAACATCGTCTATCATTCACAGACTCTGGCCGGATTCCCCCTGAGACCCTTTCGATGACGGCAAAACTTGATCGTATGGGATATGTCCCACCTCCTCCACCGTACTCCCCAATTCACTACGAGGTTCTGATTCAAATTCCCTCAGAGTACGACGTCAACTCGAAATGACTGAAGAAAATACTTATTCTGATTCAATATGTCAGCTATCGTTTTCATGGCGAGTTCAGGAAGTCATAACCTTTCACCGCGAGGTGCCTAGGCAACCAGTCAGTTTGCCGTTGCGAAGCAACCCGTTACTTATGGCTTTCAGTAAGTGAATCTGACATTCATACATTTGGTGATGCCACTGGAATGAAACGGCATCGGACGAGAATTGAGAGGATCTGAACAAACGACGTGAAGGACATCGAAATGGCAACGCTCACTTGCAAAAATGTAATACTGAATTCTAATCGGAACTAGTGAGTGGTAATTGTAAATGGAGGGGTTTCAATTAATCAACGAGGAATATCTGAACAAAGTACCATCAGAAGCTGAGGTCAAGAATCACGGTAGCGTATTGGAAATGCACATATCTTCAGTGTGCAGACGCGTGTTCGAGCCCCACCCAAAACCGAATGTCTAGCCTTCGTCAAAACAGTTAAAAAGAAGTTTTCCAAGTTTTCGAAATCTCTGAAAAATTTTTGAACTAATGACTTAAAAACAGTATAATGTTGGATAAAAATTGATAAAACTTGGTATTGATCAATCCATTGCGCTCTCCGCCATGCCCTCGGCTCGCACCTGAAATCACAGTAGTGTTTGGATGTGATCTTGACCTTTATAGTGACTATCGACACACCACTGATGCAAAAATTCATGGTATATTATCATGCCGAAAATCGGAAATCGAAAGAGAGTTCAACAGTTCAAACTAGTGGCCACCTATCCTTCTCATCAAAATATGGGATTAATTTGACGAACAAAGAAAAAGGAAGTTCAAAAGCAAGTATCACCAAAGTGGAGAAATAGGTGTTGAGAGAGAAGAACAAAAAAAGAAGAAGGAAATAAAAAAAGAGCAAACAAGTTGATGTTGGTAACAGATAGGGTGAAATGAACGATTTTGAGTGCATTTTTCCAGAGAATCTTATGAAAAATCAACTTATTCTTAGTCTGGTAATGCCACTCGAAGTTGTCGAAGATCAAAAAGCATTATCACTGATGGATGGTTTGTTCTCTATTGATTATCAGTGATTTTGGTCGATATCTGGTGCCTGTCTAGAGTACAAAAACCCCTCGTCATCCCATTTAATCAATTAATCTTCGACGTGCTCGTCCCTCAGTCAGGGAGGGGGGATAAGCAAGTCTCAGCTGTTCGTTTTGCAATGCTCGGAATCTAATTTCACTCTCGTGGGCTCGTGGGGCTGCTGGGCCTCCTTATCTCGCCGTTGCCACACTGCTCATTGCTCGTTGAAGGCCTGCTCTCGTCAGCCCTCACCCCCGCCTCCCCACGGTTTTACTCCCGTTCGTTCGCTTTCCGTCGAGGTCACACATACCCACACTTATTGCCCTAGACTGCTAACAGCACGACAATGTTGTTACGACTTGTCGTCGCTATTTTATTTACTTTGCACTCTACAGGTACGTACTTTTAATTCGATCGGTTTTTTGCGAAACAGTTTTCGCCGACTCCAGTTCGGTTCCCGTTCCATAGACGGGCCGAAATCGTTTGATGAGTTGCTATTCATTGGAAAAACTCCCAAATGCGTCCTTCAAATGCGTCCTTACTCTTCCAACTACTCTCATCTAGAGGCCCAATTTGTTCGCTTTTGTTTCCGAAACAATAATGGCCGCCAATGCGTTGAAAGTGCCTCCAAAGTGGAGAACCAACCTCTGGTCTCGTGTGAGAGGTAGGATCGGGCATTGCAACGGCGCGGGATTAGCGCTGGGGAGAACAAAAAGAGTCTGGGTGGCCTGGGAGTAGGGAGTAGTTAATGTATTCAGTACGTAGGTTCGAGTTATGGGATAGAAAATTCTAGTAGCACTCGCCAGTTGTCTTCAATCCGCTCATTGCAGATGGGCATAAAAGCCGTGGGGTCTTATGCTGAAGAAGGATACGGTAAGGAGGATGTGTGAGTAGGAAATGGAGGCTCGAAGCCCTACCCTTTCCCTCTATAAGGAGTTTCCGACATGTCATTTGAGTCAAGTTCTAATCTCGGTAATCATTCATCATCTCTCATAACCTCGTCGAGGTTGAGCGGAATACCCCTGACACCTGGCTCCGTTAAAAAGGCAAATCGTTTGGGGATTCCTTCACATTCTCCTTACGGCCTTCTGTAGTCACTCAGACGGCCATCGGGTAGGTGTCTGGTACCGGAAAGGGAAATATCTACCCTTTTAATAGGTTATAATATGATATATTCCATTATTACGTAGCTCCACTCCAGTGGGTGGATCAGTCCGTTACTCCCTGAGCTCTTTTTTTATGGACAGTCACGATACATGGGCTGTTGGGAACGCCCGGGACCACAGTGGAGGACAGCCGAACGAAAAGTTTGGTGACTATCTTGCCAGATGGGATTTCTTGATGTCTGGAAGAGTCTCGAAGGGCCCAAACCTGTCGAGAAGCCAAAGAAACCGGAATGACTAATTCTCTTGAAAGATTACTCTTCAGAATATTAACTTTTTCATTTTCATTGAGCAATCGTAATAGGCGGATGTTATAAATGACGTCTAATTTCTATTTCACCTCCTTCTAAGCCCTTTTTGAAGGCATCTCTTCGATATTTCGTATTTCTCTTGGATTTATTTCTGGCTACTCTGAAGTGGATTCAATTAAGTCTGTTTTTCTTCCCAAAAGGGCAATGTCTGGCATTACCCCTCACAGAAAAAAGTAACATTGCAAGAAAAATCAATCTTTGCCCTTGGAATGTTTTCAACAGGGGACGGACCATACTGGAAGAGCAAACGGCAACAAAATCTGTGAAATAACTGGTAGCAACTATCCATACCTAGTGTTGAACACTATTTGATCTACCGATGATCAATCAATACCATTAAAACGGCCATCGCCCACTTCGTTGATCGATTTACGGCTTACTTGCGTTGCGAGATGGATCCTACCAAGCAGATGGGTTCAATGGGACCACGGTCCTTTGATCCCCTTTATTTTTCCTTTTCCATTTTTATTAACATTTCATTCCTTTGTAGCTTCATTCTAGGTATTGTTTACTATGAAAAATCTTTGCCTAATTTTAATTTTTGTTTTTTTTTNNNTTTTTTTTTGAAAATCTTCCGGCTGTTCTGATCCGCATTATTGGTCTCTTTTAGTCCCCATCCTTTTCTAAAATCCCTTTGAAACGCTATTTTCTGGTTATTTACTTGACAACTGACCTGCTCTTTCATGTTTACTTGTTGTTTTGTTTCATTTTCGGTGTGTCACTAACGTCTCTCATCACAAATCTAATCACAATACTGATGTTATTGAGTTGTTTATGGGCTGTTTTGGATAGGCCCTGAGCCCTTCAGTTGAGGTTAACAGATCGACCAATAACATGCTTTTTGAGCTAATTCCTAATTCGTAGCCTTTGGGGAGATATGGTGTGTGTACGATTGGAAAGAAACATTCCAGGCCACTAAACTGACGTGCCAGCTTTTTGGCTGATTTGGGAGCTGGAAGTGTGATTGAGAACAGTACCTTCCCAGTCTTTTTGGATATAAGCTTCCGGAAGGGCGCCCTTGACAATAGGACCAGACCATCCAATCTACCGGTTCCGTGGGATCGAATCCCACGCGCAAAGCGAGGCTTATCTTGAAATTCCTGGGGGG